CTTTTTTTTCTCTCTCTCTTAGTCTTACTTTCCCTTCTATACCTCTAGGACCTGCTCTAACCTCTTTTCTATCACTTCTAAACAGTGCTTTTATATAACGGACACAATTTAGATGGAATTTAATTATACATAAACATAATTAATTATTAATTATACCTGGAAATATGCAGTTTTATTATAAATGAATATTTAATGAATGAATTGTAATGTGTGAGAGGAATAATGTTTATGTATGATATATTTGCATTGTTATAAATTTGGAAAAAAATAAAAAATTACAAACGAAAAAAATGATATGATAAAGGTTGGTTAATTTGATTTGAAAATTAGAGAAATAAAAAAATAAAAAAAATGTTTTCCTATTACTTAATGAGAAGTTTATCAAAAGTACCCCTCTAAAGCAAGCTCCGGGCTTCTACTCAAACAGAAGTATTTCCTCTTCTCAAACAGAGGTCAATTTATGTATATCTCATTTAATACCTTTTCCTCAGGATACCCCACCCCCTGTAAGTAATTCCCTTTACACAGATGTTCATATTCCACACTAATTTTGGCCTAAATCAAGTCAGCTAATCCAGATTTACAAACCTTATACCAGAACTAAAAACAAAAGTCCGTCTACGTTTAATACTCACCACTATGTAAAATGCTGGTAGACCGGATGCTACCGAGAAACAGGCAATTCCAAACAGCAACAGGGTAGCACATCCCATGCCTATCATATAGTAAGTGAGGGCACGCATCCAGACGTTCAGGCTGCCTCCGCCCACATACACATAGGAGAACAGTTGTTGAATGTCCTTGTGACCAAACACGTTGTCGAACCTTAGCCTCGCCCCCGTTATTAGGATACCTGCTGACACCAACTACAAAAGAAGACAATAGAGTCAAGTCTGTATCATGATAGTGCTGCTCTCGTAATCTTGGTTTTGCGGACATCAACTGCACAAAAAACAAGGTCGAACAGCTGCGAATCTATCACTCAATATCCACATTACTACAGACATCAGCTAAAGGAGGCGACAACACATTCGCTACATACGAATAATAATCCCGTTATCAGGAACCAATAACATCAACTCTAAAAGAAGACGACAAATTCACAATTTACGAAAGTAACCTTGTTGTCGGAATTTCTGCAACTACACAACGATTCAACCGACTCGCTGTTAGAAATACCAATATCGTATGCGATATGGCTGGTTCGTGTGAGCATACACTATCCAAGGAAGCTTCACGTTAACTCACCCTTTACCTATTATCAAAATCAAACTTTACAACTTACCAACCCTGTCACAAGCACGCATATCAACGCAACCTGCATCTTCTTACTGAAATACAGCAACAGATATTGTATATGCGTTTGTTTGGCAATTCGTCGTATTTTTTTTTCTAAACAGCAATGTAAACTGGGTCACACGCTAAATGCAAAGGAAAAACAAGTAACACTTTCTTGAAAACGTAATAAATATTTACTTGTGGAGCACATTTCTTCTGAAAATTATTGTTTTGCTATTAGGATCCCCATCGGCTATTTTACTACTAGCTTGTATACCCATCTACTTATATATAACAGTTTTGATATTTGCATTAAATTATGGTAAATATTGTTTAGTATAGCAGAATATAGTTTTACTTAAATGAAATAATTCTATATAATAGCATAAATATGCCTAATCTAGAACAACTAAAGGCCAAGAAGTAACCCACCATTTCGTGTCTGACCGTGTATGTAACCCATATTGGCAGATCAGAAGCCAATTGTGATCTTTTTGAACTTTGTATTATTGGTATTAAAGCGTTACACATGTGTGTAATCTAGAAAGTACATGTTACCATCAGGTAGAAGCAAATTAAGACCACAAGTACAGAAAAATGTATCCTAAAATTCTCAGCCAATCAGGAGCCATAACAACCATCCTATTCTATGGGATCAGGCCAATGGATTCTCACTACCCACCAAGTACCACTTACTACCCAGAATGTTCGAAATAATATCAATAAAACAACAGGTATAGCTATACCTGTGTATATGTCTCAGTTAATAAAAAGCAACGGAGGGTGACCACCTTGGACTAAAGAATCGGGGACATGTGGCAATACTGATGTAGGGTATCTACCAAGAAACCACTAACCATTAAACAGGCAAGTTCAATCAAAATTTGACCAAGTCTTCATAGAATTATTGCGAAGAAAGCCATCAGCCAATAAGAACTCAGAAGTTTTATTGAATATGCTCAGAATTCGCCTATAATTAAACCCGAGTAAAAGATTTGGTTAAGTAATAAAACATGCAATTTGAATAATAAATCGAATGCATACTTACAGTTGTATCTGTTTTATTTGGATCTTTTGTGAAGTGACTTGCCTCTTCAGTCCACGAAGGGTTACGGAAAACGGGACTCGGGAACTTCCGTCACCTGTTTGATATTTCTTTGTAAACAGGTACCCGAGAGTATATACCTGCAGCAACATAGATATATATAGCTAACACACAAGGCAATCAAAGATAAACAGGTGTCCCACAGTGTACACCTGTTACAAGATGAACACAAGACATATTCATGTTGTTGCACCTTTAATATTTTGTAATTTATATACAAAACGCCACAGTGAATTAAACTGTACCATGCAGCTGTTCCGTCCTTTTAGGACACGTCGGTGATAATAGGGGTCAACAAGATGGAAATACAAATTGCTCTATTATTATTATATGCAGATTAAAATTGAGAAGAGTAATGGTTAATTTAAAATTAATATTGAGGAAAGTGTGTGTTTTGGGAACTGTGCTACTACCACAAAGAGATACATGTGGCCGTCAAGGTTACGGCAAGCCGCGGGGAATATGATATCCACCAGCAGATTCTACCAGCTTGTATCCTGAAAGATGAACGTGGGACACACCTGTCATTGTACCTATACCATTAGGGAATGGATACAGTGTGCCATAAAGTAACTGCAACATCAAAGGTAACACACAAAACATTCATATCTTGAGTACACATCTGTTACAATGAGATACATATATTCAATAAACAGACAGGATCTATAGCACTATAGAGTATAGACCATTTACGGCATATAATCACCATATTCAACAATAGTAATGGAATAAAAAAAGCCACAGTAAAGTCCTGTTACAATATAACCAGACTTAATACCACACAGACAAAGCATAGGTAAAAGGTACTCCAGAGTAATGACCATTAACAACACAATGACTTTAATTGTACATGTACCTGCTTCTTTAGTTATGTTACAACTCTGATGAGCTACACCGGTTTATATAGGGCATTTTATTGACATCAGAAACGTTTCTAGCTGTTGTATACAGAATTGCGTTACCCCAATGCAATTTCGAGAACAGAACAAAATATTTTACCATTACTATCGTCAGTCTGCTCAAGGGGAACCAATGATATTAATTCCTTTATTGACCAGTTCAAAGTAAGTTCGATGTGGAAGAGGACATCGAAACCTGATTTTGCCGGACTTGTATTTGACAGCATGTTTCCATTAGCGATTTTGCATGTACATCACCACGACACGGAATGATAACGTAACTGGGAAAGAACGGTTATGCTCTTAAAACCATGGCTGGAAATTCATTCTAAGTCACTAACGATGAACCACCGAGGAAGATATCACGTACTCCTCATGTTTAGAGTTACAATGTCCTAACATAACCAAAAGTGAAAATTGAGTTACTCAGGGCGACTTTTTGATAGAATGGACATCACCGTCAATTTCAACAAAACCAAATTGTTAAGCAACTCATCCTTGTTAAATTATCTCGTGTCCATCTGGACAAGAAAAGAACATAGTTATGATGGCCAAATTGTCTTTTTGCGTTGTTGCACGGTGCTTAAAACACACTAATGATTTCATTCAAAATTAATCGGTACTCCTCTAAATATTGAATTTTAAATGTTCAGGGATTTTACGACTCTGCGTACAGTATACAGTACATGGAGTACAGTATACTGTCAGGGAGTACAGTTGACAGTCAGGAAGTACAGTGTACAGTCAGGGAGTACAGTATACAGTACATGGAGTACAGTATACAGTACATGGAGTACAGTATACAGTCATGGAGTACAGTATACAGTACATGGAGTACAGTATACAGTCAGCGAGTACAGTATACAGTCAGGGAGTACAGTATACAGTCAGAGAGTACAGTATACAGTACATGGAGGACAGTATACAGTCAGGGAGTACAGTATCCAGTCAGGGAGTACAGTGTACAGTCAGGGAGTCCAGTATACAGTCCATGGAGTACAGTATACAGTCAGTGAGTACTGTATACAGTACATGGAGTACAGTATCCAGTCAGGGAATACAGTATACAGTCAGGGAGTACAGTTTACAGTACATGGAGTACAGTATAAAGTACAGGGAGTACAGTATACAGTCAGGGAGTACAGTATACAGTCAGGGAATACAGTATACAGTCAGGAAGTACAGTATACAGTCAGGGAGTACAGTATACAGTACATGGAGTACAGTATACAGTACAGGGAGTACAGTATACAGTCAGGGAGGACAGTATACAGTCAGGGAGTACAGTATACAGTCAGGGAGTACAGTGTACAATCAGGGAGTACAGTATACAGTACAGGGAGTACAGTATACAGTCAGGGAGTACAGTATACAGTATAGGGAGTACATACAGTATACAGTCAGGGAGTACAGTATACAGTCAGGGAGTACAGTATACAGTCAGGGAGTATAGTATACAGTACATGAAGTACAGTATACAGTCAGGGAGTACAGTATACAGTCAGGGAGTCCAGTTTACAGTCAGGGAGTACAGTATACAGTCATGGAGTACAGTATACAGTCAGGGAGTACAGTATACAGTACATGGAGTTCAGTATACAGTCAAGGAGTACAGTATACAGTCAGGGAGTACAGTATACAGTCAGCGAGTACAGTATACAGTCAGGGAGTATAGTATACGGTACATGGAGTACAGTATACAGTCAGGGAGTACAGTATACAGTCAGGGAGTACAGTATACAGTCAGCGAGTACAGTATACAGTCAGGGAGTACAGTTTAGAGTCAGGGAGTACAGTATACAGTCAGGGAGTATAGTATACAGTCAGGGAGTACAGTATACAGTACATGGAGTACAGTATACAGTCGGAGAGTACAGAATACAGTCAGGGAGTACAGTATACAGTCAGCGAGTACAGTATACAGTTAGGGAGTACAGTTTACAGTACACGGAGTACAGTATACAGTACATGGAGTACAGTATACAGTCAGGGAGTACAGTATACAGTACATGGAGTATAGTATACGGTCAGGGAGTACAGTATATAGTCAGGGAGTACAGTATACAGTACATGGAGTACAGTATACAGTCAGGGAGTACAGTCGATTGGACAATTTTGATTTCCAACGTTTTGGCCCTATGCATCATCGATGAGTCCAAGAATAACCAAACAGCCGTATGATGCAGTGTTACTCATTGTTGGCATACTGTATATATTACCATACTGTATATATTACCATACTGTATATATTACCACCCTGTATCTATTACCATACTGTATATATTACCATACTGTATATATTACCAAACTGTATATATTACCATACTGTATATATCACCATACTGTATATATTATCATACTGTATCTATTACCACACTGTATCTATAACCATACTGTATCTATTACCATACTGTATACATTACCACACTGTATATATTACCACACTGTATCTATTACCATACTGTATCTATTACCATTCTGTATATATTACCATACTGTATCTATTACCATACTGTATATTTTACCATACTGTATCGATTACCATACTGTATATATTGCCATACTGTATATATTACCATACTGTATCGATTACCATACTGTATATATTGCCATACTGTATATATTACCATACTGTATCGATTACCATACTGTATCTATTACCATACTGTATCTATTACCATACTGTATCTATTACCACACTGCATCTATTACCATACTGTATATATTACCAAACTGTACATATTACCATACTGTATATATTACCATACTGTATATACTACCAAACTGTATATATTACCAAACCGTATATATTACCAAACCGTATATATTACCAAACCGTATATATTACCAAACTGTATATATTACCATACTTTATATATTCCCACACTGTATCTATTACCATAATGTATCTATTACCATACTGTATATATTACCATACTGTATCTATTACCATACCGTATATATTACCATACCGTATCTATTACCATACTGTATCTATTACCAAACTGTATCTATTACCATACTGTATATATTACCACCGTGTACATATTACCATACTGTATATATTACCCTACTGTATATATTACCATACTGTATATATTACGACACTGTATCTATTAACATACTGTATCGATTACCATACTGTATATATTGCCATACTGTATATATTACCATACTGTATCGATTACCATACTGTATATATTGCCATACTGTATATACTACCAAACTGTATATATTACCAAACCGTATATATTACCAAACCGTATATATTACCAAACTGTATATATTACCATACTGTATATATTACCACACTGTATATATTACTAAACTGTATATATTACCAAACAGTATATATTACCAAACTGTATATATTACCAAACTGTATATCTATTACCATACTGTATATATTACCAAACTATATATATTACCATACTGTATATATTACCACACTGTATATATTACCAAACCGTATATATTACCAAACCGTATACATTACCAAACTGTATATATTACCATACTGTATCTATTACCATACTGTATATATTACCATACTGTATATACTACCAAACTGTATATATTACCAAACCGTATATATTACCAAACCGTATATATTACCAAACTGTATATATTACCATACTGTATATATTATTAAACTGTATATATAACCATACTGTATATATTACCGTACTGTATATATTACCATACTGTATCTATTACCATTCTGTATATATTACCAAACTGTATATCTATTACCATTCTGTATATATTACCAAACTATATATATTACCATACTGTATCAATTACCATACTGTATATATAACCACACTGTATCTATTACCATACTGTATATATTACCAAACTGTACATATTACCATACTGTATATATTACCATACTGTATATATTATCATACTGTATCTATTACCACACTGTATCTATTACCATACTGTATATATTACCACACTGTATATATTACCACACTGTATCTATTACCATACTGTATATATTACCAAACTATATATATTACCATACTGTATATATTACCACACTGTATCTATTACCATACTGTATATATTACCATACTGTATATATTACCATACTGTATATATTACCATACTGTATATATTACCATACTGTATATATTACCATACTGTATATATTACCATACTGTATATATTACCATACTGTATATATTACCATACTGTATATATTACCATACTGTATATATTACCATACTGTATATATTACCATACTGTATATATTACCATACTGTATATATTACCATACTGTATATATTACCATACTGTATATATTACCATACTGTATATATTACCATACTGTATATATTACCATACTGTATATATTACCAAACTGTATATATTACCATACTGTATATATTACCACACTGTATATATTACTAAACTGTATATATTACCAAACAGGATATATTACCAAACTGTATATATTACCATACTGTATATATTACCAAACTGTATATATTACCATATTGTATATATTACCAAACTGTATATATTACCATACTGTATATATCACCATACTGTATCTATTACCATACCGTATATATTACCATACTGTATCTATTACCATACTGTATATATTACCAAACTGTATATATTACCAAACTGTATATACTACCATACTGTATATATTATTAAACTGTATATATAACCATACTGTATATATTACCACACTGTATATATTACCATACTGTATATATTTCCAAACTGTATATATTACCATACTGTATCTATGACCATACTGTATATATTACCATACTGTATCTATTACCATACTGCATATATTACCATACTGTATATATTACCATACTGTATATATTACCAGTATATTACCATACTGTATATATTACCATACTGTATCGATTACCACATGTTAAAGATGCAGTCATACGTTCATCTATCACGTGTGACAATTGTTGATAACCCTATAATGAGTTCCTTATCATTAGAACTTCACCGTCTAAGTTGCAGAAATTTCCCGTTTTGCGAAATACAGGAGACTGGTTTTAATGAAGTGTTCACGAGTCGTTTTCAACACGAACCAACGGTCGCAGCCTGGCCTGAGTAAAGAGAAACACCAACTACCGGACATGCACAACCGTTACGTCGTCTCCAGTTCGTATACCCTACACGCGACCGTTCATTACCGACTCTAGGACCCGTATTGACAAAACCATTATCATACTCAAACTCAGAGTCTGTGATTAATCGCAATATCTTGTTTCCGTGATGATTTAATAAAACATGTGTTGGCAATAATATGAAAGAACTTTTGTTAGACTTACAGCCGACTTATGTTTTCATGTTACATGATTTAAGAGCGTTACAAGAAAGTTAGCTTGAGCACAGATCTCTTGTTTGAGCATGAGAACGGTTTCATGACTACGGGCCCAGTCCCCTTGGACATCACCAATCCCACCTAGTGATAACTGCCAAGGTTCTGATTCTCACTTACATCTCGCAATTGATTTTGAATATGTCATTATAAAAATTACTATATATGCAATAAGTTACAACTAATTCCTTCACATCTAGACGTTGATTGCTTACCTTAGCAAAAATAGCAATCCCAAAAAGTACGGCTACAACCACCTGGTACTTGTAAATCTCGTCCGACAATTTCTCCTCGCAGAACTTAAAACAAACAAATCATTGTGTGAATACAGATCAGCAGAACATTTTATTCGTCTTTTAATAATTTTCAGTTTAAAAATGTATAATTGTTGTCCTAAGTAGTGGGTGATAAAAGCACGTTTTTTAAAGGTTTTTTTTGCTATTGTAACTGTACCCTAAACGGGCCAATGAAACTGTCATTCAATGCAAAGACGTACTTTTATGTATACAGTTTTCATTTGATAATATTTTTCATGACAATTAAACTGTATTAATCTTTATTGGCTGCTGATTATCATTACATGAACAATTTAAAGGTAAGGATAATGACCAAAACATGATTTACGTGCCGTGCAACGCTATTTATTTTATATCCGTTTCAAAAGTCTATTTTATCAAAACTATTGCTAGTTTGGAAAAGAAATTTTATCAGAACCCTCGTTGACTCTAAAATATTTCAACTGTGCATATTTTCTGCCGATATTCATCGCTTATCCCCAAATATTCGCCAAAATACCGGAAGTGTCCCTTTCAGGGTACAGTAACGCCGGTTCAAGGGCCTTCGTAACTCTGATGTTATTTCGCGGTGTTTTTTTCATAGAACCACGCGCCCGAAATATCAAATTGTGATAGGAATGAAAAGTGGATAGTATTTATTGAAGAAAAATGAACAAACATTTTTGGAACTGATAGTATGGTATAAAGAACATTGATATTTATCTAAAAAGTGTCCCGATTCGGGTACAGTGACGTTACTCTCACAAAAATAGGATCAGCGGATCCCGGGATGGACTTACCTCTTCATTGTAACTGCCGGTTGCTATGGTGGCTCCGAGGTAATTTAAGTTTGAGTTGACCGGTGTCCTTTCATACAAACACTGTTCTGGTATACCTGCACTTACAGGAGGGATGCGATACTCCAGTCCTTTCACCTTACAGCATGTATACTGGCAGAAGAGAACAATTAAAATCAACACGAAAATATATGTAAACATACAATACACACGTTAAAAATTAAATTTGTTTTCAACTATGAACACTNAAAACATCTGTTTTCAAGCTGATTCAATTATTAAGCACAACGAACGTTAAAGAATTAACTATGTTAAGTAAATATATATATGATGCCACCCAGTTGAGGAATAGCATGATATAATGTTAAAATATATGTAACTACATGCATTTTTTGTCCATTCTCCACTGCGTTATTGCAGTGTCTGCCACTGTATTTATATGTATTGTGTACATACTGATGAGCTGTAAAGCTCAAAGTCAATAAATGAATTTGAATTTGAATTTGATATGTCACGTGACACATATAAGGTATGAAGGATACTGACACAGATAATATGAAGAGGACAATGCAATAGACAATGAATGTAAGTTAGTAATACAAATTAGAGTTGGCATTGGGACAGTCGTTACAATATGTTCGTGTGTGTTAAGGGTGTACACCTCTAAGAAGTCAACACATTCTTGTATTGAACTTTTTTTGTAAAACGGAGTTAATGACATAGCAGAAAATGCAAAAAGAAGTATATGACCGTGTGCTCGTTTTTGTGCAATGATCGTTCTCAGGTACCAATTTGGCATTATATGTGATATTAAGTGAATTTTGCCATTTTGACCATTTGCAGGACAAATTAATACAATATCCCCCAAGTGTGATATCAGATCTATATGAATGTTTATAGAGTTTACAAAAATAGTATTTTCTTTCAAATAATGAAGCTAAAATTTCTTTAACTTAGCTCAGAAAAGCAATTTTAGTTACACCTACCCCTTATTTTTTAACGACAAAATACTCATTTTTTCACCATTTTTTTTTTTTTTTTTTTTGCAAATTTAACGCTTGATATAAAAAGTTCTGCTATAAAACTTTTGAAAATATTTAACGGATCAAAAGAAAAATAGGCTTCTCTTTCTAAAAAAGCCATAAATATGAAGTGTCTGTGTGCTTCATTTTTTGTTCTAATATTATTGTGTTATTTTTCACAATTTCAGGGTCAAAAGTGCTTCAGTTACACTAAATGTGTAAAAATAAATACAAAAAACGTATAATTTTCCACTTTGATGAGTATTAATTTCATTATATTGAACATAATAAAGTGGTACAGCAAAAATGAATTTACTAAAATTTAAAATGGAGACACAATGACGATTTAAGTGATTAATCTAGTGTCAAAAAGGTGAAATTTAAGCCTTTCGTGAAGCTTAAGAAATACACATTTTCAAAATGGCCGCCAAATTGTTCAATTTTTCAGATGCACGTTTGCGACTGAAATTGATCATCATTTATTAAATATAACAAACGCCCCTTAGACGAGATTAAAAAGAGACTTGAACGTGATTGAAACCTCGATAAAAATACATTCTTAAGCCAGACGGCTACTGTACTTACAGTGACAAAAAGTGCCTGCCACGACTTGGTGTAATAGTATCCGGTGTCGTGTTGATGATTGTACCCCACAAATTCCTTATAGAGCTGGAACTCCAACAGGTCTCTCACCTACATAATAATAATAACAATAATATAATAATAATAAATCGAGGTTCTTATATACCGCTTTATCACAACCTAGTGCGCGTGTAGGTCGTCTCAAAGTGGTTCACAAATTAAAATCCGTGGTTATAGGGCCTTTTGCAACCAGCCAATATCTTTCTCAACTCCCTGGGGAGCATACAGCCGGTGCTGCCATTTCGGCGCTCACAGCTAGCATTCTACATTTCTAGCACTGCCCAACCACGTACTCGTTTACAGCTGAGTAGACTGGAGTAAAGTATCTTGCTCAAAGATACAACACAGTGCCGTGGCGGGACTCGAACTCGCAACCCCTCGGTCACGAGCCCGGCGTCCTACCACTAGACTACCGTGCCTCCTACATAACATATACATGTATTTAACTATTTTGTATGTCTTAGTTATATTACAGTATCTCACTATAACGACTGAGATGTATGTGCCACTCAGCTACTTTCTATGTAATTCCATCAATTGCATCATTGCTATTGATAGACATTCTTCTGAATTTGCCAATTTTTACATTATGCAGAATTCCAATACGAAGACCATACTTTGATAAGATAATGGTTTATACTTACCCCGTATAACATGATAAACCAGAAGACAAACGCTACGATGAGCACCACAATCATGGTAATCTGAAGGACTCGGGCCTGTAACATACCCAAACTGTCATCACATGGACATTTACGGTACGAAAGCATCATGTTCTTGAATATCATAATAGTATACCACCTTACACACTTTACCTTGTGTAAGATATACAGGGTTTACGGCAAGTTTTAACAGCAACCATTGATATTACAACTCAGTATAGCATGAGAGAGAGTCATCAATTAAAGTAATCTAGTGTTCAGTGCGTCTTGTAACTGAGCAATCAAATCCAGATTACAGTTCATAAAGATATTTCACTGGTTTTGGTAGCGAGGAACTTTCGAAAGGAGAAGCAAGTCCCAGTAATTTGGCAACTAGCAATAATTAGATCAATTAACTACCCTGGAAACGTTTGCAGTATAGGGCATTCACATAGACTCTTCCAACCAATACTATGTATTTTCAAAACAGGAGTAGTAAATTGAAATTCCAATATATGGACCTCCAAGCTCCAGACGCGCACGTTAACCAACTGAGCAACATGGTCACCGGTGATTTCTTTACCATTCAACAAAATATTCGACCAGTAAAGCACACAAAGACATTTCAACAACCTCCCATGGTAAAATATGACGAATCCCAAATATAACAAGAATTTTGGAAAAAATCGAACGGCATTACAACCGGTCGCAGGAATGTCGTCCGTGAAGCGACTCCATAACGAGTTTTTCATAACACTATGTTAATATAACACTTTTAAAAAAATGTTCAAGAACAAACAAAAATGAAATATCGTCGGACGTCCCCAAGAATGACAGAAACCATCCAGCATATTATTGCGAAGAAGTGAATCGCCAAATAAATTACTTACTGAAGAATAACATTTTCTGAGGTGGAAAAAAAGCACCACGTAGATCATAGCTGACCACAGAGAGAGAGAGAACCACGTGATACAAAACAATCATGTTATAAACCGGGAGTACTCACATATGGTTTAAATAGGAGGAAGGTCAAAACAAATTAAAAAAAGACCCACACAACTAAACCAATCCTGATTGTTAATTGCAGATAACAACAGGATATTTCGTCAGGTATGTTTGAATAGTTTTCTAAACGACAGACGGAACAACACTCAACTTACGATAATAATCTTTAATTTGGATTTAAAGCAGAGTAAGTTATGTCCAAGGGAGCACGTGCCGGTGTTGAGAGCCCCGACCGTTACCATGGTAGCACCCAGCCCTATCATCAGTTCGGGAAGGTACATGTTGTAGAAGCGAAGGTTCCCGAACAACGGACTGAGGAAACTGTTAGACACAAAGTCACTTTGGAGTGTAACGATACCGGCGACGATCAGACCAAGGCCAGCCATCTGTAGAATACACGAAGAAAGTTGAAAATGAGAAACCGTTTTAGTGTTATTATGTAAATTACCTTAATATCTGTCATGCATTTTTTACAGTGACTGATCAAATACAAATGATAAGGTTTATGACTCTGAGACAACAAATTGATGTGTGCATTCTATATGTAATTAAGCACAAAGTTTACAATACATAAATGACTTTGTTGACATCACTTACGCTGTGTTCACATTTCGTACCGTATCTAGAACTGTGATCACATGACTTGCCGTTTACATGACTGTGATCACATGACTTACCGTATATCTGACTGTGATCACATGACCTGCCGTATCTAGGACTGTGATCACATGACTAACCGTATTTAGGACTGCGATCATATGACTGACCTTATCTAGGACTGTGATCACTAAACTAACCGTATCTAGCTAGGTCTGTGATCACATGACTTACCATATCTAGGACTGTAATCATATGAACTGCCGTATCTAGGACTGTGATGACATGACTTACCATATCTAGGACTGAGAGCATATGACCTGCCGTATCTAGGACTGTGAGCATATGACCTGCCGTATCTAGTACTGTGATCATATGACCTGCCGTATCTAGGACTGTGATCACATAATTAACCATTTCTATGGATGTGATCACATGATTTACCGTATCTATGGATGTGATCACATGAATTACAGTATATATGGATGTGCCTTACCGTATCTATGACTGTGATGACAGTAAAGATGACTTTTCCTTTGCTCCTGAAGCACACAAAATACAATTACATTTATTCAGAAGAGTTTACGTTAAATTAAACAAAAATGATCGATAAGTAAAGAGATTTTACTGCGTACTCAGAGAGTATAAATTTACTCAAGATATATTACAGTAGGCCTACCTAAGAAAGTAGATTTAGTCAAGAAAGTGTACACAAAGGTCAAGGGGGTTTACAGAAGGTCAAAGGAGTGGAATTTAGTCAGTAGAGTGTGCAGTACGTACAGAAAATCAGATGGTAACAGTAAATCAAGGGAGGAACAGGAAGTCATGAAAATGTTTAGAGTCTGCATTTTAGAAGGCTGAAGGTAAAATCCCTTCGGCTTCTTGTTATATCACGTTACCAACGTTAACTCAAAAATAGTAAAGAGTTATATACAGTAAGTAAAAATTGAATTGAAATATTTTACTACAAAATTTTGATAGAAGCCCGCCAACAGGGTGTCTTAGAATGGGAAAACTCAGTATCTTGAGAAAAAACCTTTGTTGTCAGGCAAAACCGGAGTACCTGGAAAAAACATGCGTTACCAAGCAGGTACATGTAGCCCAATACTTTTCCACGTTCGATTGAAAAATGGAATTCCGATCGTCTTGATGAAAGATGGGTGTTCTATCCAGTACTGTATGTAACACAGCCATTATACAATAGGAAAATTACACATGTGACGTGTCGGGGAGGGGGATTATCAAAAATATCCTAAATCAATCATTTTTTTAATGAAACAAAATAAGTTGTGACCATTACTTACGCCTTCCATGAACTGTACACAAACTTGCCGAACTGTGAACACATGCCCGATGAACATTTTGGTTTGTCGTCCATACGTTGGTACGTCAGCTCGGATATCACGATGCCCACCATCTGAAGAGATAGTACTTTAAAGACAACAAAACGAGAGTATTTCCCTTTTTTACCGTATTTATTAAACTGTATGTAATAGTAACTCAGGGTTCAGTCGCCTGAACAATTTATGGTGTAATATAACACTGCGAGTACTTTCGTTTTACTATATGTATATGTGGTGTAAGAGGCAAAAACATCTAGGAACACCAATTGATTGATGCTATTTAGATCGAACGGGACACTCACGTCTATTACGATACTGCCGATGAAGAGGAGGAATAGTGACCATACGTAGCCAGTCATGGGGGCGTAATACTTGTCCCAGCAGCCGACAGTGTAGGCATTACCGGAGCAGACGTTGTTGGTCCCTGTTACACCGCAACACTGCATCTATATTTAGCACAGTTTGTATTCATCATTATCACGGGCACAATATATACATTTGTCATTATCACGGGCACAATCTATACATTTGTCATTATCACGGGCACAATATATACAATAATGATTATCACGGGCACAATATATACATTTGTCATTATCACGGGCACAATATATACATTTATGATTATCACGGGCACAATATATACAATTATGATCATCACGGGCACAATATATACAATTATGATCATCACGGGCACAATATATATATTTATCATTATCACGGGCACAATATATACATTTATAATTATCATGGGTACATTATACTTTTGTCTTCAGCACAGAAAAAGAAAGCATGTATTTTTTCAACATCACGGGCAAAAAAGAACGGGCACACTACATGCATTTGTCATGGGCAAAGGTAAAGAAAACTTGTATTTTTTCATCAGCACGCCCACAAAATATATACATTTGTCATTAGCATAGGCACAATATATACATCATCATCATCACAGGCACAATATATACATGTATATTAAGCAAAGGCATAATATAAACATTTATCTTAAGCACAGGAAAGAACTAGTATAGCACACAATTATCATCCGATAAATATGTATCTCTTACATCAGATTCGTCAACGTGATTTGCTTCCACGTTACCGACAGAGTTCTGTAGAAAAATAAACATATAAATCCATTAAAATTCCTAATTTCGAAATGTCAAATGGAAAATCTCCGAAATATCGCAACACAAGCGTGCTTCTGCCCCATAGCTGATATGAGAGTGTTTAAAGCAAATGTGTCTGAAGAGTGTATTAGGAAGGCGATCAGTGTACTTACATTGACAAACATGGCGTCCCAAGCACTTTTAAGGTCCGCGTTAATCCAAGTATTACTATAATATAAGTACGAGTCTGCAAAACTCTGCTTGATCCAGGTAGTTAACTGAAAATAGAATAGAGTTAACTGTAATAACACTAGCATGAAACGAACTACTGTTACCATGTACTGTCTGAAATCACTGTAGCAAACTAACTCCCTGTCACATACATACCATGTACTGTCTTAAATCACTGTTACAAACTAACTCCCTGTCACATACATACCATGTACTGTCTTAAATCACTGTCACAAACTAACTCCCCGTCACATACATACCATGTACTGTCTTATATCACTGTCACAAACTAACTCCCTGTCACATACATACTATATATAGACTAACATCACTGTTACAAATTAACTCCCTGTCACATACATACCATGTACTGACTAATACGGCATTGTTAAATTTGTATTTATTTTACTGTCACATACCCATTTACATGCAGTTTCTTTGATCTTATGTCAAATAAAATTTCAAAATAATTATCATTTCTTCTAAATTCCATCAAACGAGCTTCAACTAGTTCAGCAAAATTGAAATAAAAGATAAGAAAACGTTTGAATCTTACCCCGTTAAGCAGGATAGAGGTTAGCACCAGTAACACGATATCTAGCACGAGAGCCATGGTCAGGAAGCCGGTGTACTGTAACACAGGACGAAAAACGTCATTAACATATAAACGGCGCACTATCAACACTGTCAACTATTAACAAATAACCAGTGTTGTGCTTGCTGCAGATGGAGTAAAGAACAAACTGATATTACCAGGGTTAGACTCAAGATCTGGCCTTGCCCCTATGGACTTATTTGAATGTTGCGTTAAATTTAGAAATTCTTTTGTTTGGCAATTCACAATTTTCCGTGGACCTTAACTCAAACATTTTTAGATCTGTGCAAAACTTTATTAAATCCAGCAAGAGATTTTGAGTTCAAATTGTAATAACAATTGTATATATTTATTGTAATTATTGTAATGTCATTTCAAATGTATATTGGAAGAAGGCGTTGATAAGTTGTTATAACTTGTGCCTAATCCCTTGTCTAATTTTGGCAATAAATATGTTTAAACTAAACTAAAAAAAATATTTCAATGTTATTACTTTGAAAAACGAATATCCAACCCTATAATTATACAATTATATACATGTATACAGATCTCAACCAGATTTGTTGTGAAACATCCGTGGTACTAGAAAGGCCTTAACCAAAAATGGAGAAATATTTACAGTCCTACCTTACCTGTGTAACAACCTAGAAATATTAGGGAAATCACTACCTTACTTGAAAGCGAGCATTACATGCGATGCGGTATAACCCTGGGAATCGCTCACTCGTTTAACAACGTCGTTGTGGTCAGTGGCTGGATGCAAGATATGGGTGCCCGCCCGCAAATTGCATTTGGTGGCAGCGATGGGAATCTGCTGTACTTTGTAGGGTCAGTTCCGGGTGGTTAGGGAAGGGGCATTGGTGCACAGAGAGGACCCATGGATTCACCGAGCTAAGCATGGGCACAAAATAATTACTTACTTGAATGACGAGAAGGTTGTTCAATCCAAAAGACCCAAAGAGCCCGATAACTTAACTTGAACTTGTTCCAACACAAGACGCCCGGAGTCAGATTACTTACCAGTAAGACGAGCAACTTGTTTCTGCACAGAACGCCTAGGAGCCCTATAACGCCAAAGACGGTATGGAGGGGTAACATGAAGAAAAGTGTGTAGGCCACGCCCTCGGAAAGGTCCCCTAGTAGAAGTCCATAGAGGGAGAACTGGTTGAAGACCATTCTCTGACCCTCGTTCAGCATGCCCTCCCGTCCAATCATCAGAGACACGATCACAAGATACGCCACGCTCACTCCCTAAATGATCATAATACAAGGTACTTGATTGGTCGACATGAATATTCCCTCACCATCCTAAAGCCGAAGCTACAAATCCTGTTTGGCTGTGATTGAAATGTGTTTATTTTCATTTGTTTATTAACTTAAAAGTAGCAAAACTACGACTAAAACCACTCATTTTGTTTGAATTCAGTGGGAGTTTTCTTTTGTCATTGACCTTCAGAATACTGAAATTGCAATTTCTTTTCATGCTTAACGTTTAGGAAAGATTTTTTTTTATAAATTTTATTCCAAACGACTCATTTCTGTGGGG